GCTTAACTACTTTTATTTGGCTGTCAATGTGGTGCTCAAGGTGAGTAATCAATCCAACTATGACGTACTTAGAGAATCAACAGTGAGTGATCAGGGTACGCACTTTCCAGCTCTGACCATGATCCATCTCACTCAGTGAGCAAAAAGCAGCAACACTTTGGGCCAAATCTGGAGATAGAAAGTCGCCCTGTTTCCACAGAAAAACAGGTCGATAGCCGCCTTTATATTCCCCACAGCTCCCATCTAGAGCATCTAATAACGCATACCAGCAACTTCCCTAAGTGTGGTTTCCATGAGGTTTTCTGCAATCCGGGTTGTTCCTGCAACGTAAGATGTCGGCTTCGAGTGAGCGCCGTGAAATTGTTATCGTCGGTATGTATAGTCTACTTCCAATCCGAACTACCCCGCACAGATTTTGAATTGCGCAAAGCTAATAAGATGGTCCAAAGGCGGTGGTATCATTGGATGCTGTTCGGCATATTATCTGACAAGACACCCATCATACGATCCATCGCGCCATAAAGTGACTCTGATCGAGGCGACAGAAATTGCGGGAGGAGCATCAGGCAAAGCTGGGGGACTTCTGGCGCTATGGGCATATCCAAGCAGTATAGTTCCTCTGAGCTACAAGCTGCATGCGGATCTGGCCAAGGAACACAACGGTAAGGAGAGATGGGGTTACAGAGAAGTTGGCTGTGGACAGATTGTTGTGAGAGGCCGCCCACTTAATGAAAAGAAGGATGCCGGCGAGAAGGACACCGGAAGCTCATTATCGCTTCAGAAACGGAGTGAAGCTGCTATTGCGAAACTAAGGAAAGCCAAATTTCCGCATGATCTCGATTGGATTGATCCCCAACTGATCAGAGGCTATGAGAGCATGAGCGACCCTGGCGAAACCGCCCAAGTCCACCCTTACCTCTTCACCACATCAATCGCAAAGCTTGCCGAGGAAGAAGGCGCAGAGATCAAGTTGGGATCAGTGACAAACATTGGCTACGCAGGTGATGCTGTGGAGTCAGTTACATACAATGATAACGAGTCCGGAGAATCGCGCACAATTTCGGCGACGGACGTCATTATTGCCGCTGGTCCCTGGACACGAACGGTCATGCCAGAAGCTCCCGTATCGGCAATGCGCGCTCACAGTGTGGTTATCCGACCAACCAAACCAGTGAGCGCTCATACCCTATTTACGAACATTGAAATACCCGCCAACTTCGATCCATCGAAGCCCTCACGCCCCACAGTCGTGTCCCCTGAGATCTACGCTCGCCCCGACGAGACGGTATACGCTTGTGGCGAGGGTGACCAGGTCGTTCCGCTTCCAAAGACCACAGCAGATGTTGAGGTGGACCAGACACGGTGCCAGGACATCATCGACCAAGTGGGAAGCATATCCGATCAGCTTCGGGACGGACAGGTTTGCGCACGGCAAGCTTGCTACTTGCCCAACGTCACTGTCCCACGGGGAGGTCCACTGATCGGCCACACTGGCACTAAAGGGCTCTACCTTGCCGCTGGGCACACTTGCTGGGGTATCCAAAACGCCCCCGGGACCGGAAAGCTTATCAGCGAATTTGTCTTTGATGGCGATGCAAAGAGCGCCAGGGTCGGGTCCCTAGATCCGAGGAACTTTCTTTGAAAGCTCTGTATAGACTAGAATCATGTCACTTTGGTGTAGACATGTCTGGAAATAATTTGTGCCCCATCATCTGGCTCAATCTTCGGTTGCCCAAGGAGATGCGGAGTAGAAGACAGACAATCGGGACTTGGTATAGGAGCTTGGGCCACGTGGAGCGGAAGCCAGAAGCTCTCCGCTTTAGGACAGATCATAGGTAGTGTTGAGAACCATTCCAATTGCAAGGTCTCCATGTCATAATTTCATGCCGAATCTTGAGGTTTCTACTTTTTCTCCGATGCATTCCTAGATATGCATTTCCCCAATTTGCATTTCCTTCTCGCGCCCTTTCTCTATAATGTCGTGGTCTCCGCTGGTCAAGCCTCCGCCGCAGACGACTTATCTGTCCTGACCACAGAGACAGCGAAGGCCAACAACGACTCGTTGTTATGGGGTCCCTACAAGTCCAATCTCTATTTTGGTGTCCGCCCTCGCATCGCAAATAGTCTGTCCGCCGGGTTGATGTGGGCGAAGGTGGACAATTATGCCACCGCGCAAGCCAGTATGTTTGCAGCACCATTAGTGTATTTAGTGGGCGATTGCATGGCATTGGATACTGACCGCTATTCGAAGACTTTAGACATACCTGTGAGCAGAATGAAGGCATGGCTGGCTATGGCTGGGACGAGTACGATATCAGGAAAGGCGGCAGGCAAACAATCCATGACACCGGAAACTCCTTGGACTTGACAATCGACTTCATTAAGGTCCCTGGTGGACAACACGGCGGCAGCTGGGCCGCCAGAGTGAGAGGTGTTCCGCGCGAAGATGGTTCCCCAGACCAGCCTACATCGATCGTCTTCTATGCTACGTTGGAGGGACTGGGTAACCTGGGTGTCGCGACGGAATCTGGTCCTCTTGGGTATGAGGGAGACGTGAAATTGACAGGATATACAACCGATCTTGGGGAGTTCTCCGTCGATGTGACTGCTGGCCCTGGAACCAATGAGCATCCTGAACATGCGCACCCGTCCTACGAGGACAAGCCGCTGGATCGCACTCTGGTCTCCAGCTCTACCATTCCACCGGAAAACCTCTGGCAGGTGAAGGGTAGGCTCAGCATCCCGAGGAATTGCTCTCTCGTATGGAATTGGCGCTGACGTTTGTACAGCCATTCTTTTCGCGCAGATGAAGTCCGAAGTCAATGAGATTATACAGAGATTTGGCCAGGAGAATCCTCCCCCACCAGCGCAAGTTTTTACGATCAAGAACGCGCCTGGCGACGGGAACATTCACCTCATTCAGAAGGTGTTCAAGGGTGCTTTCGAGGTATTGTTTACCATTTGCTCGTCGGTACATGGCTTACACTTTCTAGTTCGATATCCTGTTCAATCCTGGGTCTTCTCCAGACCCCGTGACGTGTAAGCTCCGACTTCTCTTGGCCTCGCCGGCCGATCGAAAGGAAATACTAATCAAACGGATATAGCCAACAAGCTCACCGAAGAGATCTCCAGCGCATCCCAATCATTTTCTGAACGCTTCGACAAAGTCCTTCCACCGCAGTCTCCCTTCAAGACAGCGGAGTACTCTGAGTTCTCCAAGGCAATGCTGTCGAATCTTATTGGCGGCATTGGCTTTTTCCATGGAGATGATTTTGTTGACCGCTCTGCAGCACCAGAGTACGATGAAGAAAACGAAGGTTTCTGGGAGGAGACGGCCGAGGCGAGGGCGCGAGCTCAACCTGTCCTTGAAGGGCCCAAGGACCTCTTCACTTGTGTTCCGTCTCGCCCCTTTTTCCCCAGAGGATTTTTATGGGATGAGGGATTCCACCTGATACCTGTGATTGACTGGGACACTGACCTTGCGTATGTTCCTCGATTTACCTGGCCTATTCCCCTATTCTCCAATATCCGTTTGATGAATTGGCCTACTAACTCAGAGAAAGGCTCGAAATTGTGAAGAGCTGGCTGAATCTGATGGATGAGGATGGCTGGATCGCTCGAGAGCAAATTCTTGGTGCCGAGGCCCGTAGCAAGGTGCCACCAGAATTTACCGTACAGTATCCTCATTACGCCAACCCGCCGACTCTGTTCATGGTATTGGAGGCTTTTCTGGATAAGCTGGAGGCTAGCCAGGGCGCCTCTTCTCAAAAATTCGGCGGCAAGGGCGCGCTGGACGGTCTGCGTATGATGTATCTGCAGAAACCGGAACTGGGCGAGGCTTTCATCCGATCGATCTATCCGCAGCTCAAGCGGCATTACTTTTGGTACAGGACTACCCAAAAAGGGGACATCAAGTCATACGACCGCGAAGCGTTTTCCACGAAAGAAGCATACCGCTGGCGAGGAAGGTCCGTCCAGCATATTCTCACTTCCGGACTTGATGATTATCCTCGCCCTCAGCCTCCGCATCCAGGCGAGCTGCATGTCGATTTGATTAGCTGGATGGGAATGATGACTCGTGCTATGCGACGTATCGCTGAGTTTGTCGGTGAGTCCGAGGATGTGGAAGAATTTAGAGGGTACGAAACGGCGATTGAGCGTAACATCGACGATCTTCATTGGGATGATGAGGCACAGACGTACTGCGATGCCACCATCGACGAATTCGAGGAAAGTGTCCATGTTTGTCACAAGGGCTATGTCTCCCTCTTCCCGTTCTTGACAGGCATGCTGGGCCCTGATAGTCCTCGACTCAAGGCTGTTCTGGATTTAATCAGGGATCCAGAAGAGCTTTGGAGCGACTACGGTATTCGGAGCTTGAGCAAGAAAGACGAGCTCTACGGTACTGCCGAGAACTACTGGAGAAGCCCGATCTGGATGCCCATCAACTATTTGGTGGTCAAGAATCTTTACGTGAGTAGAGCATCATTTGAGACATCAGTTCGTACAGATAGACTGACTGGGCCAACTAGGACATTGCAACAACATCTGGTCCTCATCAAGAACAGGCCCGTGAGATGTACTCGAGCTTGCGGAAAAACTTGGTCGAGAACGTCTTCAGACAATGGAAGGAGACGGGATTTGCCTGGGAACAGTACAACCCTGAGACCGGAAAGGGGCAGCGAACGCAACACTTCACAGGGTGGACCAGCATGGTAGTGAAGATCATGTCAATGCCTGACCTGCCTGCCAACAAGCAGAGAGGCCATGACGAGTTGTAGAATTATCAAAGAAGATCCTTGAATACATTGATATACTAGAGGGAATCGAAACACCTGTACACTGACATTTGCCTCCCAGCGCCCAACTCCGTGTGCAAAAAGTCATAAATATGATGCAGTCAAAAACTCACCGGCGTCGATAGTGATCGGAGTCATGATCCTTTGGATGTCTTCGACGATGGTCTTCTCTGTGTCTGCGGTGACCGTCTTCCCCGGCCCTTACTCTGCTCGTGGACCGCGAACTTGTTCGCCTCCTCCGGCGTTCGCGATCACGAGACCGGGATCTCGATCGGTGACGGTGGCTTCGATGATGACGTTCGCGCTCTTCGTGGTGTCTGTGGTGTCTGTGGTCTCTGTCTCTGTCTCTTTCTCTGTTGCTCTCGCGATCCCGCATACGATGCCTTCCTGGACTCCGACTCCGCTCACTTCTCCGTTCTCTCTTCCTATCAGCTGGATCCTGGACCGCGGTCTCCGTCTCCCTTTCGCCTAGAGGTGTAAGGTTTGCATTGGCATTCCCACTCGACGCTGGTAGGGGTAGGCCCAAGGCTCGTGCCATGGCTTCTTCCTCCGCTTGTTTGACCCGTTGTACCTCCTCACGATCTCTTCGAGCCTGCTCTTCCGCGGTTGTCTCGCCCTTGGCATACCATTGTAGATCACGACCTTGTTGCCAGCGACCAACGGGGGCCATAAGAGAATGGCCGAGGTAATTCTCGCGATGTGCCGAGTCCTTCACCTCAGACCATTTAAACTCGCCGCGGCCGCCGCTGTTACAGTCAATATCCATAGAGTAAATACACGGGTAATTAGAATTTCAGGAAGCGCTTACCGGCTGCCTTCTTTGCGAACACCTGCGACAAGATCCATCCTGGCTGTATATTCGCAGAAAGCTCGGTTATGATTATTGTCAACAGATGAAGACTTCGTGATCAGCTCACTGAAGGGGGCACATGGCACGTGCGCATATAGGCCTGAGGCATCAAGAAATATTGTCTGACCTCATTGATTACCACAAGTGGACGAGGTATATCGTTGAGCAACCCAGTCCATTCCATAAGGCAGCTTTGGACGACATCGCTTTCTGCAATCAAGATATGCCTCAAATCCATCTATTTGATGTATTAATGCGATATACCCGAGCGGTTCGGTGATGTTGTTTTCAGTCTGTTAATTATACCCCTCATATGAATGACTTGACAATACTATCATCTCTCCTCCGCTTCTCACCGGCTTGAGTCGTCCACTCTGCTTCCGGGTCTTTAAGGAGCTTGGTAGAATTGCGAAGCGCTTTTCCTGACACTACTGTCATTGAAAGCCACTGTAATATAACAAATATGGCGTCTCGCAGAGGTCCTGATGGAGAACCTTCGGGACCGAGGTTTCGCCCAAGAGACGGCTTACATCTCCGACCGCTGAATGTTGAAAAGGGATCGCACAGGGTGCGTAGCGCAATTGCTCCTGGATTGATACTGGCTGACTACTTTCCTTAGTTTCCTGTGTATGTGCAACCTCTGTTCTATTTCCAGAGTCTCTGGGTGACACTGACGCTGTCGCAGGTCGGACTCTATACCTCCCCAGACCGCAACTTGGCGGAACAATTTGGTCAGTTAAGTTCACTTTCTGTACGCTCAGTAGAAATTTTATGCTGATATATCTATAGACCGCACTTTCTCAGCGTCGTAACTTACTGTTCGTGGCCTACAGCCATCAAATCTATGTATGGGAGCCTGCTGGCTCGTTTCAGATGCTTGGCTCCAAGCCTGAAATGATCATTACTCCAGTTATGAAGGAGCCCCATAGCAGTGGCTATATTTCACCAAGCTTCCCCCATGCCGTTAACAACCTTCTCGTGGATGATCTCGGTCGCGAGGAAGTGTTGCTGCTTGTCACTGACTCGGGTAATGTCTGCGGTTACCGAGTCGAGGCAATTTTCTCAGCACTGAAGCGCGCCACAGAAAACAAGGACGACAAACGCCCGCTTGACGGTTCCCAGGTGGACCCATTCTTCGTCGAGTACGTGCAGGCGAGCGCGTGGGGCTTGGCTATACATAAATTTGCGCGGCTTATTGCTGTAAGCGCAAACACAGGTCTCATCACTGTGTTCGCATTTGCGCTGGTAAATCCTGCATCTAAAGACTGTAGCGATGAGCTGGAGAATGAACCCCATCTCACGGACTACGATCAAACCTGGTTGGACATCAGGGGTAATGAGCAATTTGCGCAATTGCAACGACTCATGCCCGACAAGCATCGGACGAGAAACATCAAGCTCACCTACACAGGGCACTTTTCAAACATACCGTCTGTCGGATTCTATAACTGCGACCTTGATCCCAATGGAACATGGATGGTCAGTACTGACATTGACAACAAGCTTCTTGTGTGGAAAATCTGGGAAAGCCTGGGCCCGTTCAACGTCTATCACTTCAACGGATCTACGGTCAGGTCATTTCCCGAGACTTTGCGTAATGAGTAAGACACAGATATTCTTACTATTGAATGATGACTTAGGCTAATTTAAACAGCACCGAAAGAGGCTGGGCCGTCCTCGCCCTTGACCCACGCACCTTTCAGCCAGTCAAGACTACACAAGAGGCCTTTGGCGGCCAGCCTTTGCGTCGCAAGAAGCGCGGCCAGGTCGTTCTGGACATTACGAGATTGAGCAATCATATACCAGATGCTTCACATCTTTACAACTACTTTCCTCCCGCAGTCAGATCTGAGCCTGATCAATCAGTTTTGCCTGACATCTTTGGAGCGGACTGTCGCATCAGCAGTGACAGTCATAAACAAGCCTATTTGACAAGGCCCAAACGTCATCGCCCGAATCGCAGCAGCTCTTCAGACTCGGGGCCTGCTGGTGAAGCCAATTGTCTCTCAGAGGCAGTCGGCAGCCTGGATTATCATGCTGCGGATGTTTCGGGTGCTGAGGACGAAGGTAGTGAGTCGGATATGAATCCGGACCCAAGCCAGAGAGCTTCGAACCAGGATGCTGTCGGATCTGGCGACAATGAGAACACAAACAGGTTCCACAACGCAGATGTCAATCTTCGGCGTCATCGTGGACAAGGGCCTCTGACAACCGCGGAGTTTCTTCAGTTTGCACTGTTAGAAGCCTTAGGTGGCGACATTCCGGGTGCCGAAGAATATTTTGACGACAATCTAGATTACTCAGATATCGATGAGGATAGCCAGGGAGAAGAGAGTGATGATACTGATGAGGAGATGGAGGACGACGAGGATCGTTCCTCCGACAGTGATGCAATTTCGGACACTGGACTACCCGCATACTCGGGTTCCGATGGTATGTAGCTCAGGTTGTTCTTTACAGTTCACTTAACAGTAGGCATGCTGACAAACATTGCTACTGACTCCAGCTCTCTTTCGGTTTTATTTTCCAATCCTTCATTTTTCGCAGACAGACATCCGTCTGCTTCCTCACCCTCTAGCGCCACAACCCAGTGTTGTATGTGGAGCGCCGCTTCGACAGCCTTTTACCAGACCGATAGTCTCCATACGGGCGTGCGATCGATTTAATATGGTAAAATGCATTCCCGAGCACGGCATAGTTGTCGCGGCATCCCAGAAAGGCCGTGCCGCCGTGATAGCTCTCACCCAATCAGAAGAAACTGGCCTGTCATTCAGAGTCGATTGGATAGTTCCGTTTGAGAGTCAGGAAAAGTTCGGCGAGCGCCCGTTAGTCCCCCTGTTAGGCATGAGCGTCAGCCCCATTCAGGGATTCGAGATGCCTCCAGATGTGCCCTACATCCCTCGCGGCGTGGGCGACGGCAAAGAATTGAAGTTCCAATTCAAAGATGTGAATCACGACAGGAGCAATAGCTTCACTCCATCCTCCAATATTAAGGGCGACTCGAGAAAAATGTACGCTCCGACATTTCCTTCAGGGCCTGGGCTGAGACAATCTCCAACCGAGCGTGAACAATACCCATCCACACTGCCCGAGTGCCACGCTAGGGTAACGCGGGCCTATCAGCCAGAGGAGCATTGGCGGGGCTGGAATCCCTCGCGTCGATATCGTCTGCTGTTGATGTATGATGATCATACCGTACTGAGCTATGAGTTCTGGTACGACTGGAAGACAAAGGTATCAGGCGAAGAGGATGGATCGGATCAAGACGAAGTGCTCATCGTTTGAGCGATGCCTCATTCAATCTGCACATTTGTATAGTGGAGGACAGTTTCCTTTTATGAGCCAAATCGTTCTGTACAAGACACTCTGACATACACACAAAACCTCTCCACATATTCACAAATGTACAAAGGCAAATCAGCACATACCTTCTGATAAAGTTTCATATGTGCCTCTCATCATCTTTATGATGCAAGCATTCAACAAGTACACCCTCCTACAAACCACCAAAATCCTGCCCAGACACCTCTCTATCCCAGCGGTACAGTCAGTCATAGTTCCGCGCCTGTAACCGCCTCCACCTCCCTCCCGGCATCCTCATCGCTCTTGTCGAGAGATGAGGAAAAGCCGTGCGGATATGCCAGGGTGTACATGATAAATGGCCAGGTCATGCCACACCTTCATGACCACATCCATGCGCGATGTCCGCGGCGCATGTCAAAATAATTCCGAGAAATCATAAAACAGCAAGGCAGCTACCACTACGATTAGCCAACCTAAGAACCAGCCGGCAAATGGGCTGTACTGGTAAGGGATGGGTCTGGGTTTATGCTATTTGTTACTTTTGGGGATTTAGCGGGTATAGTGCGGCATTGTATCGGGATGGTTGTTGGGTCAAGAAGGACCTTCAGGCATCTCTGCTTTGTTCTTCGGCTTCCCTTTTTCCGGAAAATTGGAGGTATCTTGCATTGTACATCTGGTAATTGACAGAATATGTTCACATAGGTACACCTTTCTTTCAACGGACACAAAACACGCAATGCTATGAACAGAATGTCGCTAATCATATATATATATGCATCACATCATTATTTGGCAAATGCAGGAGAAAAGATGTTATCTTTTAAAGGCAGTTGGGCATCATCGTGATAGTTCATGATTAGATTGTAGTCGTCAAGAATGCCTGATTGGTGTGTGGAGTATATCAGGCAGTCAAAAGTCATCATCCAATTCGTCACTGTCCCATTCATCTTCGCGATCATTCTGAACCAGATCCAAAAACCTCTGGAGGCCTGGTCGATGGATTCGTCCTGGTCGAGGCGGCTGAACTGCAGCTTGCCCGTCATGTTGCCGAGGACGGTCCGCAACAGGGCGCGCTCGCACCTCAGCCATCGCTCGCGCCTGGGCTTGCCTCTCCGCAGCCGCAGCTCTGCCTGCTGCGTCCAGAATATGCGCATCATTGCCACGATTTCGGTGACCATGACCGCCCGCAGCTTGGTTGACTTGTGGTGGCACCGGAGCAGGAGGTGGAGGTCGCCTTCGGCGTGCGATCTCATCTTCACGGAGCTCCAGGACTGGAGCATCTTCGTCATCACTCGGTTCGTCAAAATCGACCAGATCATTAGGTATCCGGTGTAGAGCCTCAGGACCCTCGGGATCAATGCCATCTCCTCCCTCCAAATCCCACAATCGATTATAACACTGGCTGTTGGTATCGTTGAAGTGCCGGTAAGGGTTGTCTTCAGGAAGCCAGCTCGAACAGAGATAGCAGAAGTGGGTACTGCACTTGAAACATATCATATGGTTGCAGCCCATGCGTTTCTGACAGGGAGCATCGCATGTTGGGCAAGGTGAGGTGTAAAGCCTTAGGTACTCCTCTGTCGCTTTCTCTTCGGCTGACAGCTCAGCCTCCCGCCGTGGGAAGCACCGCACCAATTCCCCATGCCAACCTTTCTTACAGACGCTGCAGAAGGCATAATTGCAATCTTCGCAGATG